CGCCCACTGCACGCTATATACTTTTATATCCCAATCCTCACCTGCGAGGTCCTCAGTGGTAGTTCCTAAACACGTGGTAATGACTGAATTCAATCGCTCAATTTGCCCGTTTGCTCGCGGGGTATCCATCGCGACGCGTACATGATAAATGTTGTACCCTTCACAAAATTGTTCGTAGGTCCTTGCCGTGAAGGCTGTTCCTCGATCGGTTATGACCCGGTCGGGTTTCTCGTAGTGTGCAATATATTCTTCCATGAATTGTACAACTAAATCCGCTCTAGTATCGCTTACAGGTTCAGCACTGCATATTTACTAAACCCGCAGATACTCGCCAGTACATATTTGTTCCCGTTTTCTGTATTTACAAAAGATCCAAGATGGTTAAATGAATTGTTTGGAAGGGTTGGTTACCCTTATCTAATGGGTGCAGAAAACCAGGGGGCTTTCCTCGTGGCGTTTTATAATATAAACACGGTATGCAGTGATTTATTTACTGCGCCACGCATTCCTTGAGCCCGGGAAAGTAATATTCTCGCTTTACCTGCTCCGTGGTTTTCTCTACCCCTAAGTGCGCTAACGCATTGTGCGCTTCCGCTATTATTTGGTGTCGCAGATCTGTCAGAACATATAGTCTCCACCTCCCTTGCCAGTTTCTGCTCCTTTGCAAGGGTTTCCATTACAGGGTGTTCTAAAAGATTTTTCTTTTTCTCTATCATCATGCCTGCTATTTCTTCGTTGTCTTCCATGGTTGACTTTTCTCTCGTTCTATCTTTTCTGGTACTTGCGTTGTTCGGCATTTTGTTGTTCAGACCGTGCACAATCCACTCGATGGCCTCTGCATTTGTCATGCTAACACGATTATAGCGATTTAATTTTTCGTAAAAGTATTCTGTTAAATCCTGACCTGATTTTCGTTTGTATTCCTAAGCTTCCAGACGAATCGTGACGCTGCTTCTCGCAGAGGGAAAGTTTTCTTTGAAGAGCTATTTCCACTGAAGCCACGTGCGATTCAGACTATCCCTCCATGTTCTAGCCAACCCTGCGAGTTTCGAGAGAGTATCTCCACTTTTCTATTTTCTCGATCCATTCTTCGATGGTTAACCGTCCACGGACTGGATTGTTACGTCCTAGCTTCTATTCACGAGAATCGAAGTTCACACATACAAATTAATTTCTCACTTTTGCTCCACGCCCCTCCCTGTGGACACGCGTCTGAGCGGGATTGACTAACTGCGTCAAGTTCTTTATGTTACCTATTTGTTTTATTTTTGAATGTACCCGCAAAATACTTACTTAGGTCGATTGGTGCTCCTAAACAGGTAATGGCCGTATCGTGGGTCGCTTATTGGGATGTCGGTGAAAGACGGCAACACCACGGTGTAGTTTATCGATGTCACTTTCCAGGTGATGCCTGGTATCCTATTTTTGAGTCCTTCTGGTCTTGTTGTTGAAGCGAATATCCTGAGCGAGTAGCGTCCTGTTATCGCGGGTTCACTATACTCGCGGATTAATTTACGAAGTTGATTCTTACGTTCCGCACGACGGGTTCTTTTGGGCATTTATATAAATGGAAATAGAGCGGTGATCCTCTCCTATTTCTGTTTATTGATATTTTCTCCTTTGGAGGGGTCAAAGCGGTTGCCCTTTCTAACCACCTCGTCCAGAGTAAAAGGAAAAAGGGAATTTGGAGTAATGAGGGAAGAGATCGAACTCTAAACTGTTATACAAAATAACTGCGTTTATTATAGTCCTTGCACGACTGTTATGATTGATAGTTAACAATCCAATGATTTACAATTTTTACAATTGACGATTGACGATTTACGATGCACGAGAATCTCCACGAGACTATCTAAGTTGAGAATGAATATCAATATAACAATGAGGCTCTCTATTTTTGCGGCAGTATTTATACCCTAGGAAAAGCCTAAATTTTGTGGGTGGGACATTGTCTCTATGCGGATGCAATGCCCCCTCTTTTCCTATTACGCGGAAAATTCGTGACTCGCTCTTAGCTGGGACGCGCCACTATGGCGCAAGTGCTGACATAGGACTATCGACTCAGCGTTGTCTTAATCTCTTAGACTTGGCATTTGTTTTAGCACACATAGGAGGTATCTCGTAGATATTCCCATCTAGTGTCACTTCTATGTGGCATTGAATTAAAAGAGAGGTGGCATGAAGATATTCTCATCTTCCTGCCATCTCCTTACTTAATTTAAATGTTAGCGCATTCGCCTGGAGAGTGAGCGAGAGACGGATGTAACAGGATCAAATTCCGGCAACACGAAGTCTCCGCCACAGTAGCAGCCACCGCCCGTTCCTAGCTCCTCCATGCCCGTGGTGCACTCTTGAGCGGTCGACATCCCTTCGGACCTTGCTCGTTATACCATTCAAAAAACACTAGAACTCTCAAACGGACCCTGATGTCCACCGTATGCATTTACACCAATCGAACACAACGTAGTGCTTTCTTCGCGGCCACGTGCTCACACCGGAAAATCTTTTTTTTCACGCAAACTTCGGTTTGCACGGTTTTTCGGCGCCGTGAGTACAATCCCACTTATGATTTTGTTACAGGTGGATATTATATGTATTATTTATTATACAAAAAGAAAAGAATAAAATATTGAACTTGGCCGTTCACACACTTGCGCTCTCGCCGAAATCTCATTCTACTTCTCACGGATCCTCGCACGCCTTTTTCTACTTTCTCACTCTCACTCTCTCTCGCTCACCGTCCAATTAGCTCCGGTTTTGGCGCGCGTTTTCGAATTCTATAACGTAAGTATGAAAATAGGATAAAAAGTTCGATAGAATTAATTATTTTTTTCTATCCTAAAAAAATTCACGAAAAATTGCTGTTTTTAGACCTCCTAATTCAGGATTCCTCCTTAAGCCTACTGTAAAAGGTTGATCATTTTCATAAGTTGCTGGGTCGTTTTTTTACAAAGCTTGTAGGTACCTTAAATCTATCAAACAATTTCATGCTTTCGTTCGAAATGAAATGCGCAATGTCTTTATCTAAGTATTGGCTCGACATCACAATATCTAGGGGTTTTCATACTTTTTCCCCACCCTGTATATACCCTAGTAATACAAAATATTTAATACATATTCATCCAATATTAAGAAGAGATTAAATCTCATTTTATCTCATAAATATACATATATACTGAAAAATTATACATACTGAATAATATATACTGATATATACTGAAAAATTAAGTTAATATGATTTTACATGTTTCTTATTTTTTCACGGAAAATAAGAAAATAATTATAGCATGAAAATACTTAAACTAACTAACAAAAAAAAAGTATCCTCAGGAATTGAACACAGGACCATCGGAACCACAGACAGACACTTTAACCGTTCGACCATGCCGTTCGCTTAAAAATCACGATGAAGTCACGGGTATTCATGTTACACAATGTATACATAAAATCTTTAAAAACTCGAAAAATATTGATTTGCGACTCCTAAATATATAAATATAAGTAAAAATTCATTGGTTTTTGAAGTTCTATCAATACCCCCTGGTCCAAAACGGATGCACGCTGTGACCTTTGACCTCGATTATTTCGAAAACGGGGGCTTATCTAAAAAAAACGAGCTATGTGAACTTGGCACCCGACTTTTCAAAAATTAATTTTTTTTTATAGAAAACGATAGTATTTCGTTTGTACCTGATTGTACCTTCAATAGTTTCGTTTGTACCTCCACCAATTAATAATTCAAAAAATTCAAAAAATGGTCAGCACCCGACATCGAGATATTTGAAATCGGGTTTTCTCGATTCTTTAGAATCGTTTGTACCCATTTGTACCGCTTTTCGTTTCGTTTGTACCTCAATAGTTTAAATTTTACAAGCAATTGTTGATCCGCGGAAGAGTGAAGTTCGTTAATTTTCAAGATATTAAAAATCTGTTTTTTCCCGATTCTTTAGAATCGTTTGTACCCGCCGGAAATGCTTTTCTTTCGTTTATACCTTAATAGTTTAATAGTTTATACCTTAATTTTACAAGCAATTTTTGATACGGTTGAATTATGAAATTTAAACTATTGAGGTACAAACGAAACTAAAGGTGGCACAAACTGGTACAAACGATTCTAAAAAATCGAGAAAACTCAGATTTTAAATATCTCGATGTCGGGTGCTGACCATTTTTTGAATTTTTTTAATTATGAATTGATGGTACAATCAGGTACAAACGAAATACTATCGTTTTCTATAAAAAAAATTAATTTTTGAAAAGTCGGGTGCTAAGTTCACATAGCTAAAAAAACGTCGAAACACGGAAGAAATATTTTTCGATAAAGAAGGTCTGTACCAAAGTGCATTAAAATTGGTGACTATATTGTAGACTATCTTTGTGTTGTGGTGTGTATTCCTTTTTCCTAGAGAGACGCAGTCAAAGGGTTAATAATCTTAGGAATTTCATTTTGTGTAGTATACAGGGTGTCCCAAAAATGTTGGAGCTCCTTGAAAGGGGTGGTTCGGGAGGTGATTTGAAACAACTTTTTCCTTTGCGAAAATGTCGGATGGGGGTCGAATGGGTCGGATATCGTTAAGCAGATATTAACAAAAAAACCCCGACCAATCAGAACGCGCGCATACCGTTAGAGCGACCGTGCTAGCGAAAGCTACGCGCTAGGCGGCCGCGTCAATATCCTTGGATAGTTGAATACACGTCGAGTCATTTGTCGCGTACGAGCGCGGCCGCCTAGCGCGTAGCCTTCGCTAGCACGGTCGCTCCAATGGTATGCGCGCGCTCTGATTGGTCGGATTTTTGTTAATATCTGCTTAACGAAACTCCATCCGACATTTTCGCAAAGTAAAAAGTTGTTTCAAATCACCTCCCGAACCACCCCTTTCAAGGAGCTCCAACATTTTAGGGACACCCTGTGTATGTATAGTTAAGGAAAAAAAGTTAATGTATTTATATGATATTATTGTTAGAAAATAATTAGGATGTACAAATTTTTATTGTCCCAGGGTTTAATGAATTTGGGAAACACTTGTTTTTTCAATGCAGTTCTACAATGTTTAGCGCAGACACCTTTCCTAGTGAAAGTTCTCAATGATCTACGTCTTCCTGGACAGAAGTTCATTCTACCAGGAGGGAAGCACAAGCTTGCAAATAGCTCGGAAGAAGTCGAACTTGTAAGTCAGTTTTATTAAAACTTTGTATAAAGTTTTCACATGATTTATTATTCCTTACATGCAGTTTCAATATAAACTATAGTTCTTATACATCGTAAGTAAAAGAAATATTGTTTCTTGTGTTACACATCAATGAATAAAATGTTTATATGTACTTTATTAACTTACTTTAGAGAGTTGCTGCTACGACACTATAAATAATTTATATCACAATTCTGTGGGCGCCTCTACGGCGAAATATTAACATGTGACAAAAGGTTAATGATAATTTAAAGAATTCAAATTTTTAATTTAAACAATTGAAACTAAGATTCTACATATTAAAATAGACATTATTCGCAGATAGAAGTAATTGTAGTAATTTGTATAGACTGCGTAAATTATTACATACGGTTTTCTCAAAAAGTGGTATTGTATGGTTCCCTGAACTCTTTTGTGTGATACATGGACCTCATATGCCACATAAAACGGCAGGTACAGCGACCATGGCAGGAAAATTCAGGAGTAGAAGAACACGTTATCTTCATTCTTAAATGAAATATCATACGGTTTTACAATTTTAGCTAGTGCTTTTAATAACAAGTAATATTTATCTGCATAATTTATTCATATTCTCACAATATGTACTTATGCAAAAGGTAAAGTTGTAGAGAAATAGATTTTAACATACCTTACAACCCTTTCTTTTGCAGGTTCATTATGTTTTATCAAATTTGAAGTCTAACTAATTTAGATTAAAGTGATTTATCCTGCATATTTAGAAAATTCTAGTACATATACAAAATTGTTACAATAAAAGTTTAATATTGGGTATTCGAAGAAGTTCGTAGCGTTTCTCAACCATTAGCATGATTTCATCACATCGTTCTGTGATTGGTCGTCCACAGCATGATGTATTTTTGACATCAAAATTTTGATAGAGCCTTTGGTCCGTAAAAGCCACAAATTTTTTCACAAGCCTGCGTTGCATTCTCGCCTTGATCGAGTGACAAAATGCCACGAACTTTTTTGAATACCCATTAGTTTGTATGCCCGTGATAATACACAAGATTTTGATCTTGATAATATAAGTCAAAGCCATACAAATCGGTAGATTCTTTTTTACTTTATTATCGTATAACTTCATAATATTTCGATTTAAATAAATTCAGTGATTATACAGGGTGTCTCAACCTAAGTGTTATGGAGCTCTAACTCCAAAACTATCGCCCGTATGGAAAATTTCAAACATGGAAATTGCATGGTAAACTGGGGCTCATGTTTCAGTGAGAAGGAATTTTTGTTAACTTTGTTATTTAACGAGATATGATGGTCAAGTTTCGTTTTTCAGAAGGAACTATATATTTTTGTTTAGACCGTACGATAGTACTTTTCAAGACGAATTCATTAAGCTTTAATGTATTTACCCCATTTTTATTAGTTTTCTAGATAGAACGCATCAAAGTTTGGTAATTTTCAAGGAAACAACTCGGTTCGGCTCTGGTCGGTCCCATTGATGCAGTAAACATCATGCGGTTCTTGAAATCGATACCGAGGGGTCTCGCTTGGAATTCTAGGCCCAAGGAAGGAAAATGACAAGAATCCCAATATTCTGGGCTTAGAATCCCAAGTGAGACCCTCCGTATCGATTTCAAGAGCCGCATGGTGCTTACTGCATCAATGGGGCCGACCGGGGCCGAACCGAGTTGTTCCTTGAAAATGACCAAACTTTGAAGTGTTCTATCTTGAAAACTAATAAAAGTCTGGTAAATACATTGTCACGGTATCGATTCGGGATGGTTGAACCGTCGCGAAGGGTGCCCTGATTGTCAGTTGGGCGTCAGGCTCGCGTCGTAGGGCTGGGTCTTCGGTGATGGTGAACGCGCTACAATGGCCACGCAGTGATACGCACGGGCGATTTCGAGACCTCAGTCGCTTTGGCAAAATACAATTCCTCGGAGTTAGGAGGATTCGAGAAAAGCAAAGTTACGGTGGGAGTTGCCCTAATGGGGTTGGATAAACAGCGTTAGAACGAGTATCATTCCCGGAACGAGTAGCCGTGGAGATCCGGAGACGTCCGTCTAAGCAGTAAGCGTCTTTCCGGCGGCCGAGGTATTCCCACGCTACGAAGACCGAGCTTCGTTGTGGAATGGTTGGTTAAACGGTTTTTCCGCGTCCGAAAAGAGAGCTCTTTGGTCGATCTCTTCGGTTTATTTCTTCGGACGCGCCCCGTAGGAGGAGAATAGCAAGGTATACAAAGAAATGAAAGAGAGAGCGCCTGAGCGGCGAATAGATATTTATTACAGAGAAGTATGTCTGTACAGTATCACTCGCCCAGCTGTGCTGCCTGTTGGAGCGTAGCGGCTCGGTAGTTGTGCACGGTACTCCCCACTTTTGGTAGCGAGAGAGTGCCGTGCGGTAGCGCGGCACATGGTTTTGGCCTAGCGGCGGCCGTCGGTACTACGGTTGGGGAAGGAGGATTAAGCGTGGCAGGGCGCGAGCGCGAGAGGAGAGGGTCGCGACTACTAATTCGCGTTACAACATTAAAGCTTAATGAATTCGTCTTGAAAAGTACTATCGCATGGTCTAAAAAAAATATATAATTCCACTTAAAAAATGAAACTGGACCATCATATCTCGTTAAATAATAACAATAATAACAAACAACAAATAAAAGCAAAGTTAACAAAAATCCTTCCCGCTGAAACATTTTACCATGCAATTTCTATATTTGAAATTTTGCATACGGCCGATAGTTTTGGAGTTAGAGCTCCGTAACACTTAGCATGGGACACCCTGTATACGTAATAAAAATAGATAAAATAATATACTTTTTAACCGACTTCGAAAAGGAGGAGGTTACTCAATTTGACATGTATATTCTTTTTCTTTTTTTTTCTAATAAACAAATTTCTTTCAGCCACCTATAGAAGGTACTTTAGAAGGTTGGGGCAATTTCACTTCAGTTTTATATGAGACACTTGTGGAAATGCAAAACTCTGATGGACGACAATCTTACCGTCCATCAGAGTTATTAAACTCTTTTAAGAAAAAGACAATACAGTGTATGGATGGGGGACAACATGATTCACACGAACTTCTTAGACACCTTTTAGAACTAGTTCGAAATGAGGATCTCAGGGTGAGATTTTCAACATTCTTATAAATGTTCAGTTGCATGGTACTTCATTACTAAAACTTCAATAATAAAATGTTTAAATAATTCATAATATTTTAAAATATTAATTACATTTCTAATATTATTATTGTTATTGTTGTGATTTTATTAGAATTTATAAATGAAATAAAAATACTGTTTTGATTTTTTTAGAGGTATCAGAGCATAATTCTAAAAGAAGTTGGTTTAACTGAAAAAACAAATCCCGAAGGAGTAGAAAAAACCCTCAAATCTCGTGTAAAATTCTATGGAAATCAGGCTAGTGCAAGATTACTTGGACCGGAACTCGTTTTTCGTGGAGTTTTGGTTTCTACATTGGAATGTCTTGACTGTCACCATACTTCTCAGAGTACAGAACCATTCCTAGATCTGAGCTTGTCAGTAATGATTGACAAACCACAACCACCAGTTTTAAAGTAAGTTTTACTGTGATATATGTAACTGAATATGGAACCAGACAGAAATATTTGCTGTCTTGTGATTTTCAAAATATTTGGCAAAATTTCAGGTTAAAATTTACGTTTTCATCGATGATAATGGATTATATAATATACAAATATTGATAACTAGAATTCAATCAGGACCAAAAATATCTAGCTAAAACATCATTTTGTCGTTAATTTATTTAAGGGTTTTATCTAAAGGTTTTAATCATTTCTTTTAAAATCAATGTAACAAATTAAGCAATCAAAGAAGTCATGTAAAATTGTATATTTCCTAAAAAATTCAAAATATTTTTCAAAACATTTACATTTTTTAGTCGACTTCGAAAAGGGGGGGGGTCACTCAATTCGACACGTATATGTTACCGTGAATGTGATAAATGCGATAATTATACATAATCCCTGGTGATTATGCATAATGCCCACAGAAGTTGGTGAATGTGATAAATTCTGGAATATGTATCAAATTGACCGGTGATTTTATATAATCCCCAACTCGTATTAGGGAATGTGATAAACTTGTTAATGCGTATGCTGTCTACACGAAAATACTGTTTGAGTAGGTTTGGGCTAGTTGTTGGTGAGGGCGGGAATATTGAATACTGTTAAATATAATTCCCATTTCGTAATGGCGAATGTGACAAATGTCTTGATTGATGACGCTCAACGAATACAGTAGTTTTTTGAGTAACTACTAATCAGAAAATGATAATAATCATGTGTGTCAGCGTTGAGTCAATTGTTTACGCGAATGTATAGGCTCAAAATACATGCATGCGTCTGTGAGTTTTTACGCGTCAGCTATCGATTGCCCTGGGTCATGATTCAAGCTGTTTCAAATTGATTCATATAAAGTAGCGCGCGATCTTTATTCGTACAGTAAAAAGATGGGGTCCGGGGGCTCGCTCCTGGTTGGGGGTTTGGGGGCGAAGTCCCCAACAACGGTGTTTATAGTTTTGCGAGGGTTGAGTGGTTGAGGGTTGACCTATACTGCTCTATTGTGTGTGATTGCAACGAATTTCGAATTGACGAGAATAAAGTTTTATATTATAACCAAGACCGAGAACATTCATTTCTGCAGTCCGCGCGAACCTAACACCAGTTCGCGAAGAGTTTATAGTAAATAGTTTGTTTATAACATTATTTTAAAAGTAATCACAGTTTATATAATAACAAAAACGAACATTTTTTTTTTTCTAAATCTATTGATGTATAACATGTACCTAGTCACATATGTACGCTAGCAGAGAAGCAAACCGGAACGATTTTTCAAATGCTCATAACTATGAGAGTTTTCAACCGATTTCGGTGAAACTTCGTGAGGAGTAGTCTTCAAGTGTCTTTTGGGTGTGTGCAAAGTTGCATGAGCGAGGATTGATGTGAAGGGGTTATTTCACGCCCCTAAAGGGGAGGGTGTAGAAAAACGCCTCTTTGAAACAGGCCAGGGTTGACGGAAGGGGTTAAAAAATTCAAAAAAAACCTCTGGGGCGACTCTCCTTGATGGCCTCTACAAAATGCACCCCTTGAAATCCCTCTCGGACAAACCCCCCCCCCCCACAACCTCACACCCCCTCTAAAATCTACAATTTTTGGACGACGGTCTCGATTTTTAGTTCAATGCATTCTCTGGACTCCCCTTATCCAGAAAATGGTATCACCCATACCGTGCACCCCATAGGCACCTTTTGAGGGGGTAGAACAGCTTGCAAATTTTCAACCCCCTTCATAAGGGAGCACTTCCACACATCGGAGGGCGATGAAATTCACTATGTTTGTTCTCGATACGTTAAGGATGAATGCTGAAAAGGTCTCGTTTAGAAAACTGCCCCTGAAGCTGAAGGGAGAGGGGCAGAGGTAGGGGTGGTCCATCCTGAACGTAAGGGTTGGAACGTTGATTCGTTGCGTGGATCACATGTCCAACAATCCAGGGCATCGGTGCGACACAGTTTTGATGTCTTTTTCCCGTGTGAATGGCAATAAAATTCGAAAAGGTCGATTTTTTTAAAAACTCGCTTCCAACTTCAGGCCCATCTGCAGAGTGAACGAGTAACCCCACGTCAACACCGTTCGCGGATTCGGACGCGCAAATGCTTTATTAACAGATCCCCCAAAATTCAGAGTTTTGAATTACGCTTTCGTTGTCAAATCTGCGCAGATTTAAAAGAGTAGTAAGTGGGCCGGACGGAAACGGCATTCAAAAGTGGTACGAGACCCTGCGTCCGTAGTGGTCAGTCCACGTTAAATTGGAGTCCGGTCTGGTCTGACCACGTACGGGTGCAGGCCCTCGCTCCGCTTCAGCGAGTTTAAAAGAAAATCGACAAGATCGCCTTAAAAAAATACAAGAAAGTAGAAAAAGATGTGAAATCGAAATGAGCAGCCAGTACATGAAGCTTCTTTCCAGTAAAGTGCAAAGCCGACACTGTATAACACAATGAAAAATTCGGTGCTTTCTAACTATGAGCAGCTAAAATGCTGTGTTCAACACTGCAGACATTCAGACCCTAATGACAACTCATGTAAACTGACTGCTCCGCACTTTGGCGGTGAAATGAAGAAGCTAAATAGTGTATCAACCACAAACTGAGACTGTTTAGACCAGTGTTTCCCAACCTTTTTTAGGCCATGCCCCACCTTAACATTTCTAAAATTTTTATGCCCCCATACATAATTTTTAACCTCTAAAAATTGTTTTGTTCCCTTTAGAAATATAAATGATAAGGTTTAGAAGGAAATCACTATAAAATTGTTATCAAAACATCATAAGTAAAATTTCAAAACATATAATGAAAAACTGAAATTCAGAATAATTTTAATATTGATTTTTCTGTATTCATTTAGTGCGATCCTTGCGCTTGATGCTTGCTGCACAGAGATTTTATATTAGGTTCCAATTTACTTAGCTTTAATCTTACGTCTCCACGTTGTGTTATATCAAGTCGATTTCTTTTTTGTATCAGTAAATCATTTACAGCACTAAATCTACATTCAGCTAAATATGAAGATAGAAACGGTAGTAAAAGTTTTCTTGCACATTTGGTTGCATTCGGGTAATTAATTTCAGTTTCTTCATAAAGCCATGCCATCGCTCCTTTTATATTAAATAAAGTTTTTACTGATTCATCATTTTGCAATTCTGCGAGTTCTTCTTGATATTGCATATTTGATATATCAGACAAATCCACTAATATTGGGTGCATCATCCATGTTGGGAAATCAATTTGTTTTAAGTCAGAAAATCTTTCTTTTAAATCAGCTGATAGAATATTCAAATGATTGACAAGTACAGCGGTATCAGTTACTTCACATTTTTGGAGCCAATGAAACTGTTCAAAGTTTTTGTTGTTAATATGTTTCTGATATAACTCTATATTGGTAATGAAACCAAATATCTTTGTTTTCTCATCGACAACTGTTTTATTTGGTCCTTGAAGTTGCTTATTTAATATATTTAGTTTTTCAAAGATATCGGCTAAATAACTTACAAATGCTTTACCATCGATTGTTAACAGATACTTTATTTCAGGTTTGTCGCTTAAAAAATCACTAAGAGTATCAAACAGTTGCATAAATCTTTTCAAGCAGTTTCCTTTGGATATGCATCTTACTTTAGTATGAAGTATAAGTCTCACATGGTCTTCATTTTGTTCTTCACAAAATAACTTGAAGAGACGGTCACATTTGGCACTAGCTTTAATAGCATTAACATACTTTATTACTGCATGTAGTACTTCATTTAGAACAGGCGAGATATTTTTAGCTACCAAGTTTTCCTTATGAATGTACAATAATCATTTCTGGATTCGCATCTTTCATCAATTTTAAGCAGCCATTTTTCTTGCCCATCATATTAGGGGCGCCATCTGCAGCATAAGATGTTATATTTTTCATTGGTATATCATTGACATCTAGGTAGTTTTTTAACTTATTATATATATCTTTGGAGGTAGTGGTGCTTTCTAATCTTTTACAGAACAACATTTCTTCAGCAAAATGTCCTTCATTAATATATCTTATATAGGTTATCAATACTGCCTCACTGTCTCTCAAAGTTGATTCATCCATTTGTACTGAGAAATTTTTTGTTTTCAGCTTTTCAACAAGTTGTTTCTCAATATCTTCACTCATTTCGTCTATTCTTCTGCTAACAGTATTGTTACTGAGTGGCATAGCTTTTATACCTTTGTCATCTTTTTCCAGAACCGTTTTAAGAAATGCTGATATTGACGGTTTTATCAAATTCTCTCCTATAGTGTGATTTTTTCCAGTTTTAGCGATTAATAAAGAAATTTTATAACTAGCCTCAGAAAGACGATTATGTGTTAAAGAACGAGCAGTAAATAGAGACTGTAATGTTGTTCTTTTTTTAAACTTTTCCATTAAAGTTTTAAAATAACTCAAATCTGAATTTATATGAGCACTATGTTTCGCCTTCAAATGCGCCTTAAGACGACCTCGTTTCATTGATTCGTTGGTCAAGCATTGCTGGCATAAAAGACAAAACGGCATCCGCTCATCGTGAACAGCGGGTATGAACCCAAATTTTAAATATTCCTCCGAATATTGACGAGTTTTGTTCTTGTTTGTTCCACTCATTTTATTATGGGCTAAAAAAAATCAATTAAAAAACAATATAATAAAATATGTGTTAAAATTAATTCAATATGACAGAATAAACGTATGCGCAAAGAAACATATTTATTTAAATGTATATAATACATTACTGATATTTTTTTTTCACTTGACCAAAATTTCTGGAAAGTTAAATGCTTCTAAAATTAAAATAAATATAAATAAAATCAAGTACTTACCAATTATATCTATACAATATATATAAATATATTTGTTAAATCAACGATTAATTGACGGACACTTATTTCAAATTAACACCAAGTGAATGATGTGAAACACTACAGAAGTTGAGTTGGGCAAAATAGGTGTGAACAACGGCGTTGTTTAGCGAGTTTTAAAACGTCCGGGGTTCCCCGCGAAAGGCGGCACACTCCGCGGTGAATCCCCGACGAACAGGGGCGAACTGGCGAGTTCCGACCGGCCCGGTGATTTCATCTGAACGTGGCCCTATATGGGGAAGGGGGGTAAATTTTCACTTTTTTACAAATTTTATTATCATACACAAAACGTGTATTTCAATAATGCACAAAATATATTTTTTTTTAATTTAAAAGAAATTTGTCTACGTGGGCCGGCCCATAACTCGACCGGCCCACCGGTGATTGCACCGATGGGCTTATATGGCCAGTCCGCCCCTGCTGACGAAGTTTACTTGACGACTCTAATTACCCAGTTGATATATTTTTAAAGTCAAACGAAATTATACCTAATAATTATTTACAGCATTTTTTTAAGAATTTGCCTTTTTTGTTAAATTTGTCACCGATATCTAGCATTGCATTTAAATAACCCAAAACGAAAGGGTTAAAGTCGTGTCGAGTCCATTTTTAAATTGCCCCCCTTAACTATCAAATTGCCCCCCTGTGGGGCGTGGACCCCTCGTTGGGAAATTCTGGTTTAGACATTTGCCTAGATCTCCGTGGTCTGTGAAAGTCAAATGCTTGGTGTGGCCAGGCAAGGTCAAGGTTTTTATGAATAAGAATTATTTTAAAAAGTAAAATAATGAAAGTGTACTTATATTGTCAGAGTTTTAAACTGACAAATTATCTGAAAGCTTGTGAGAGGAAAGGTATCGGTGTCGATGAATGACCTTAGAAGTAATTTAAAATGCAAAACAATGGAAATGTACTCATACCGTAAGAGTTTTAAATTGACAAAGTATGGAAAAGCCTGGGAGAGAGAAAGTATGGGTCTTGATGATCTGAGAATGCCTTAGCTGGCCACGCCAAGCATTTGACTTCCAGGCCGCGGACATCAAGGCAAATTTTTAAACAGCCTAGTTTGTGGATGATACGCTATTTAGTTTCTTCATGTCACCGCTAAAGTGTGGAGCAGTCATTTTACATGAGTTGTCATTAGGGTCTGAACGTCTGGACTGTTGAACACAGCATTTTAGCTACGCATAGTTGGAAACCACCGAATTTTCCATTGTGTTACACAGTGTCGCCTTTGCACTTTCCTGGAAAGGACTTTCATGTACTGGCAGCTCATTTTGATTTCACATTTTTTTCTACTTTCTTGTACTTTTTTATGGGGATCATTATCTTACGATATGTTTAAGTTGTATTAACGAATATATTTTATTAATAATTTTTTCTAATATTACATTTGTAACCTTAGAGAAAGCTTTAGAGATAACTAGCTAATGTTCAAATTTTTTTTACCAAACTTGCATAGTATTAATTTCTTCATTATATCCAAACTAATATTATTTAACTTATTTTGTAATATTTCGCCATAAATGTGTTTGATATATTGACCATTGTTTCTACACTTTTCTATCTAAACGATCCCATAGTTCCACTATAAAATTAAATATGTCAGTCAAAACATTTAATATAAGTAAATATTGTTAAATACACAACCAATATAGAATTTAGCAACAAAAGTTGTATAGTAATAATTTACGATGTATATTAATTATTCATTGAAAGTAGTACGTCGCCACATATTTCTAAGCGAGGGTGTACGTGTAATATGTATACGCAAAAATGTAAAAGACAAACATAGTATACGATATATCAATAGATGCAGAAAAAAATGTATGTTCTTTTTTGCTATTATACAAACTGCGATTACTTTTCAAATAATGTTATAAACAAATTATTTTATACAAAATTTAAGGCCAGGTTTTATATGGAGATAGAAAAGCATGAAACTTTTTCTTAAACAGTTTTCTTCTATCTATGATAGTTTCGGAGATAGCCTATTGCAGCTGAAACTTTACTCTCTAAATATGAAAACGGGCCAAAATAAAAAAATACGTATATCTTATTGTTCGGTCCTTTAAAAGATATCAAAAAATCAAACCAATCGAAGAAGGACACGTAAAAAACATTCCTTGTGAGAGTCGAGGTGACCGTAAAAAATTTAAATGCCTACTAATCGGTAGGACAGTAATGCAACGACATGTTTTTTATTGTTAATTTTTTTTTAATATAAATTTCACTAACATATTGGTCAGGTTTTCCTGATTAAAAGAAGACCAAATACGATATTATTATGACAATTGGTTATGATACTAGGCTAAATTTTCCCCCTTTTCCGCTCTCTGTTCCTATGCTCTGTCACCGTCGGCAAATGTAAGAATATTTCGACGCCAATCAAATGGCGAATAGCGCAGCGTAGGGAGAGAATACACGCTGTTATGCCAAAATGACAACATTCCAGTGTATCGATTTCAGGTTAGCAGTCCTCCTCAGTAAGCGCCATCTTATGATGATTGCCTTAACTAAATTTGGCCTTATATAAGCATATTTTGGGCTGAATGAAGGCTCGTTCGAAAGGGGAAGGTCCAACAAACGCGGTTGTGGTCATCGTTTGTGTCACAAATTCATTTTAGTAACCTAAAAATACTTCTGTCACGTCCTGGATTTCAGATTTGGAATATCTGTTATCCAGTTCGCTCAAATACTGCCTGGTTTTTTTGTTCCACGCCTCTTTTAAACGACTCGTGTCTGGACGGAATCCTGATCCTCATTAATTCTACCCTCGCGATTACTGTTTATAAGAATTTTATGTTTCCGACTTGCTACTTGATGTGATCGAGCGCCTTTTGTATACAGGGTGTCCCAAAAGTCGGGGAGGAGCTGGAAATGAGGGGGGGGGGTGTAGCTGAGACGATTCTGAACAACAATTTCCTTTGCAAAAATGTCGGATGGGGCTTCGTTAAGGAGATATTAAAAGAAAACCCCGACCAATCAGAGCGCGCGTAGACCGTTCGAGTGGCCGCGGTAGCGAAGGCTACGCGCTAGGCGTCAGCGTCAATGTTCGTCGATGCACGTCGAGTCACTTGTTCGCGTACAAGCGCGGCGGCCAGCGCGTAGCTTCGCTACCGCGGCCGCTCCAACGGTCTACGCACACTCTGATTGGTCGGGGTTTTCTCTTAATATCTCCTTAACGAAGCCCCATCCGACATTTTTGCAAAGGAAATTGTTGTTCAGAATCGTCTCAGCTACCCCCCATTTCCGGCTCCTCCCCGACTTTTGGGACACCCTGTACAGATACTAACTATGTAACCCTACAAACCCTGTCTTTGGTTTGTTATGAAGGAAAAATATACAGGGTGTCACAAAAATGTTGTAACACCTTGAAAGGGGTGGTTCGGGAGGTAATTTGAAACAACTTTTTCCATAATGAAAATGTTGTCCGGAGCTTCGTTAAGGATATATTGACAGAAACCCCCGACCAATCAGGGCGCGAATATGCCAGTGGAGCGGTCGTGGTAGCGAAGGCTACGTGCTAGGCGGCTGCGTCAATATTTTCCGATGCACGTCGACTCACTTGTTCGCGTACGAGCGCGGCCGCTAAGCCCGTGGCCTTCGCTACCGCTGCCGCTCCACCGGCATACTCGCGCTCTGATTGGTCGGTGGTTTCTGTCAATATATCCTTAACGAAGCCTCGGACAACATTTTCGTTATGGAAAAAGTTGTTTCAAATTACCTCTCGAACCACCCCTTTCAAGATGTTACAACATTTTTGGGACACCCTGTATATCTCCGGTTTGGACAGCCGATATGCGAACGTCACACTTTCATTCTGCGGGTGTATTTTGCTCGACTTTGGACACTCATATGATTAAGTATCAACAAAATCTCGTTCAACTATGATCAGAGCCGGATTCCTATTACAAAGGGGTCCAGTAAATTTCGTTTTTCGTCCTTATATGAGAATATTTGAGGTTGGTTGAGGGATCATTGGAAAGAGGAACGTTCAATACATCCGGCTCTGGTCATGATTCAATGAGATCTTGTTAATATCTAATAATATGAGTATCCAAAGTAGAGCAAAAATACGGTGAAATACACTTGTAGAATCCAAGTATTTTTAGGTCACTAAATGAGTTTTGTGACTCAAATGATAACCGCCTGGTGTCCCCATCTGTGGTGCCGTCGGTATGGGCTTTCCGAGTCCCCGCTCTGTCCACCCACGGCTCCTGCCGCCCTCGTGCCCCGGCCGGAGCAGGCGACCTACAGGCCCCGCATCAGATAGCGCTAGAGGGCACCGCACACGGTAAGAGAGTCGTCGGAGGCGTGATCCGGCATGCTCGGATGCTCCCCAGCCCACCTTACCCACGGTCCCCAAGGGAAAATCCTTTGGAAAACGACCGGCACTCCACAGCCAAAAACTATGTGGCCCCGACCCGTCCCGATGGGAGCTTAACTCATCTCCGAGGGCCAGGATCAGCTCGCTTCCTGTGGTCGATCACCCGGCAGCACGCTCGAGGATGTCCTCCGCACCCAGCCAACAGCACTCGTCCCTCCCCGCAGGGGCATACGCTGACGCGAGGGGCAACCTCAGCGCTCACACCCTCTTTGCCGAGCCCTGGTCCCTTTCCCGGTTTCGCTGGCCGTCTCCTTCTGTGTCATTACTACCTCGCAGAAGCAAACCACCGCCTTTCACGGGCTGTCACTCGCAACCATGTGGTCGACCATGGCCGCGACCGAGAGGTCATACCCTCCCACAGCAGCTCTGAGGCTACGGCGCGGCACTCCCCACGCAGAGCACTCCTCACGCGTAGGCCGCACAGTGTCTACGACTTCGCCGTAGTGGTGACACTTGCGCAATTGGCTCCTGCCCCATTCTATGCGGGTACTCCGATGTAACCATGTCTGGAGAGCACATGAGCGTGAGCTGAAGGGTTAACCTAACCCGCCTCCTGCACCATGTTTCAAACATGGGCAGGAGAGCCCAGACTATTGGACGGCTCGAAGAGACGCCTGACAATTGTCGCTCCTATCAAGCTCACGTGTCCGCCCGGGCCTGGCACCTTCGCATTTCGGCCTCGTCAACCTCCTCGGCGGTGAGTTCCACCTCCGGCGGATGGAACAGGCGACTACAAAGAATGCCGTTCGCTCCGCCGCCACCAGGTGGAATAGCGGAAGAACCGCGAGGAGGCCCGTCACCTCTGTGGAGATCATGGGGTACTCTCGTACGGTCCGCAACAACAACCGGCGTCGCATCCTCTCCAGGAGTGGGTCACAACGCCGTCTGCCCGCGAGCAAACGGAGCAACACGGGGGCCCTATAAAGGGCAATGGACCGCACCATCTTCCAAGTCGGGGGGCCATGAGGCCGAAATGCTGGTCAAAGGGCCAGCGACTGTCGATGACCAGGCCCAAATATTTTATTGTGGGCCTCACCTCGACGGAGGTATCGACAACACGAATCCGTACAACCGCATCGCCTCGATTTTGTCGACGGCTATAACTATCCCCAATCTCCGGATTCGTCCAATCACGCAGTCGAGAACGGGCTTAGCGTGATGGCTGGTCCTCCTTCAGTCATCCCCCTCCGCATATAGCAGATGACACCCGTGTCTATGGGGAGGACGCAGCACCGCGTCATACGTCAGGTTCCACAGGAGCCGTCCGAGGACCGAATCATGTGGAACCCTGCGGCGCGTCTCCCTCACCAGCACGCTATCGTACAGTCTGGTGTACATCACTCAGAGATCCCGAACTGATTACTCAAAAGAGATCAGCGCCGGGGCGTGGTTAAAGCCCTCTTTCCTCTGAGCGTCGGAGAAAAAGAGAGCAGATAAGACGTGCTACAGGATTTCCGGGTCTAGACTCTCCGTTAAAGGGGGGTGCTTAAGGAAGGAGCTTTCCAAGCACCGCTCTGTATGCACACCCCCACGGATCTTCTTTGA